AAAAAAAAAAAAAAAAAAAAGGAATGAGGAAGGCTGGGTAGGATAGTAAATAGGTGAAAAGAACCCGGACTTTGAGAATTTGTAATTTCACACAAAAGCTGAATAGACAAAAAGGGAGCGGACATCAGAGTGGAGGTTTAAGTGTAGCACAGACCAAAGCCTTTGTGATCTGTAGTAGTCAAGGGATGTAGAGCAAGCCGATGATGGCTTTGTCGGGAGATTCCACCCATCGGGACGGGGTTCTCTCCAGCCCCTCTGGTGCCACAACACTGTGCTCTGTGCCCCAGAGCAGGACCAAGGAATGCAGAGAACAAGCCCAAGGAGAAGCGCTTGATAGTAAGAGAAATTTTTTAGCCTGCAGCTTAGTGCCAGGCCCCAGCTATGTCAGAGAGGAAGACAGGGAGGGACAAGTTAAGAGCTAATCAAGAGGAAGCATCTGGCCGATCTGCGGCCACTCGGGCAGCTGTGGCAGGGGGTCAGCCCAGCCAGGATCTGCAATCACTTCTCAGGGAGAGCCACACTAAGGCGCAGTCACACATTTAGCAAAAGCTGCGGAGGCCGGCGTACTCAGTGGAGGGGCTTTCAGGAGTCCAGCGGCACTAATTAATAGGCCGCAGTTAATGGGCAGAAAAGGGGGAAATGAAAAACAATGCTTCAGGGCTCTGATTAAGGTAGATGAAGGGCGGTGATTGCCAAGCCAGAGGGAGAGGCCAGAGATGGGGGCAGAGGCCAAGAATTCACACTCCAGGGCCTTGAGCAGATGGACAAAGGCCCAGCCAGGCCAGAGCCCAGTCCACAGTCGGGGAGGAGGCCGGAACAGTCAGGGGTGTCCGATTCTAGAGCAACAGGTTGGATGCGTTTCCTTGGCCTGGGAACGGCTCCTGGTCCTTCTCTGGCTGCCATATTCATGCCATATTCCGGCTTTATGTCATGGACTCTAAGACTTTGATTTTTTTGAGGTGGGGTCCCTCGGAGCCCCCACACTATTCACCCATGTCTGCTCTGGCACCGAGCACCTGTCACCATCTGGACGGGAAGGCCTTCTCAAACCAAATTATACTATTAACACGCTTATCAATTTCGGGCAACAGTTTTCCTAACTTTACTAGCTAGGCTTTCTTTTTGTTGTTGTTGTTCCTCAAATCCTGGACCTCTACTTTTAAGAGAGGAAGGACTTTCCTCTGATATCCTGGATTTGGTGACCAAACTAGACAAAAAATTGCAATGAACACTCCCAACTCCCTAGCCAAACCGCCAGCCTCTTTTCTGT